ACGCAGTTACAGATCGAACAAGACGAAATCGAGCAAGGCGATGAGGACAATCAGATTGAAATCTCGAGTGATACGTCGTCAACAGAGACGTATTACTCGGAGGAGGATAACGAAGAAGAGTGATACAGCAAGAGTGGTGTGAAGTTTGACTGTATGCGCGATTTTTTTGCATGACGTGTTCAACCACGGAAAAGTCTACCCATAGCCGTAGATTCAACACTGCCGCTCTATACGTATAAAAGCAATAGAATTACTGTTATTTTGGATCTGCAAACAATACACTTCGGTCCATCCCGATACTGGTTAGGGGCAGTTGAAGTCTCTGACTATGGTTGAAGTCTCTGATCGTGATGACGTGTCATCATCACAAATCATCGTCACAAGCATCAACAACGCGTTTCAGCCGTTATACAGGCAAAATTGATATGTATACGTAGCTACCGACGAAAACAATGGACGACGGTATATTTTTTGTGTTCTGGTGCGCTTGTGGCTAACCTTTTGGCAATCTTGTTGGCTACAATCATGGATTTGATGATTGACCATCATATGACGACACGATTAAGATCTATTGCGCGCGAACGCACGATGAAAATTTGGATTGCTTGCTGATGTTCAATATTGGCAGCAAATCCTCCCTTTTATAGTTCGATATCGTCAAATATATGCTCTGTCCCATCAAAGTTGACGAACGAATGGCGGAAATGGCCCTCGATCTGGGGTAGACGATACCCAATCTCCATAGCGCAGTCACGTAGATATTCCATGAAATCCCGAGTGTCATTCTCATCGTTGTTCCACTTCGAATACGTCTTCCTGATGTATCGCTTTAGATCGCCGAAGTACTCTTCGATGGGGTTGAAGTCTGGTGAATACGGAGGCAGAAACTCGAGATGGACACCTGATACCCGGCATAAACCCTCGATTTCAGGTATACGATGGCAGGAGAGGTTATCCATAACGATGACAGAGTTTGGCTCTGGAAAACGCCCACATTTCGGGATAAGGCACTCCTGTAGCCAACGAAAGAACCCATCGCCGTCAGTCGTACCATAATACGTAGTCAAGTGTAGGATACCGCTCAACGTGAGGGCTGGCAGGATCTGTACGCGAGAGTTCTGAAACCGATCAATCTCTGCAGTTCGAAACGCAGCAAGCCCTTTCGGCGCCCATCCAGTCCTCCGTATCCCAGTATCCTTATTGACGCCGGATTCGTCGACGAATACCAGCTGGTCGGGGCGATATCGTCGTATACGGTACAAGTACTCGTATCGTAGTTCGTCACTTCGCTGAGCAGCAATAATCTTGGACTTCTTGTTCGTCCAGCCAGCTGAGTTTAACTGTCGACTGATTGCAGAACGACTGATCTGGATCTCGAAGGCTTCAAATAGGAAATCTTGCATCTCTTCAAGAGATAGATCGCTGCGGTACTGCAGTAGTTCAAGAAGCTCTGTACGATGCCATATTTCCATCTTTTGTCGACTCTGGCGGCACCTCTTATATCTCTGCACTTCGCCAGTGATATTACGTCGTGATCTATGTCGTCGAATCGTTCGTTCGGTACAGCCAACGATACTTGCCAGCTCGTGGGTCTTTTGGTCTTCGAATGGCAGTATCATCGCGATCGTCGATAGCTGTAGATTCGATATTCTGGGCGCCATTGTATCGTCGTCGTCGCCCGGCGTCTTTCTCGATGTATCTGATATAATAAACCACGGACATGTACTGACCAGCGGCAAACTGTAAGTAACAGGGCACAATCTATACAGCAGTAGACTCTTGCTCAATATCGTGAACAAGCTGAGCTATCAGGAGAGTCATTAATCCTGTTGACTGCCAAAGCATTTGCTCTGAAGAACCGTATCAAGCCCCTTGGTATGCTTATATATTACTCAGAGCCATACAAACCGTATGCTGAGTAGATATATAAAGTCATACAGCAGGTCTCTTCTTCTGTTCCTCAGCAAATGTCATCTTGATCTCTCATGACGAAAATAGACCTTTTGTTGGTCGAATGGTATGGGGATGAGGTGACTAGCTGGGTTGGCAATGCCTCGATGGGTAGATTGACTGCTACGGAAGCATGAAATACACACCTTATGTCTCTATCGTGTAGTTATACGTTTGAATACTACTGGGACTATAGTGATTGACGGCAATTGAGGTGTTGGTGATGACTTTGACGCGTTTTGCGTGCGATGCAGAGAAATGCGCGTCACAGCGTAAAATTGGCTTTTTTTCATGTTTTTGCATAAGCGGGGAAAAAAAAGGGGGGCGGACGCTGTCAACGCAACGGAGTGTATCAGTCCTGCTCGTGGTGCGATCGCTTTCGCACGCTACACAGAACTTACCCTTACTTCAAAGTCGGATGCAGATGACTGATCCCCGAACCTTGTATTTCATGAGACGGGTCAAATTGATGTGGACAACCGCAGACCCAGCTGTTCGCCTCATCTGATTATGGTAACCGCCCTAAAGGCTCGCACCGGTCTTTTTTTCAACATATGGGCTCTGTGAGTCCAGTCACAGAAACTATCAAGTGATACACCCTCTTGAATCCTCCACCCTTTTCTGCCACTTTTCTTTTCCACCTTCTCTGAGGTACATCACCTGTTCCGCAGCGCCGCATGGATCCCGTTGTACGTCCAGTTCAGCCTCATTCTATCTAGCTGCGCCTGCGCCGACATGTCCGTCACGTGCCTCGAGTTCTGCTGCACCTGCGACGCCCGCGGCCGCCTCACCGAGTCCCAGGTCTGCAGGGCTCCATACACATTACTCGCATCCACGTTGTCGTGCAGGAGCAGCCGCAGACCCTCCGCGTCTTCGATGGCCTGCGTCGCGCCCTGGCCCTGGAACGGCGTCATCGGGTGCGCTGCGTCGCCGATGATGACGGCGCGGCCGCCGACGTAGTGCGTCAGCGGGTTGGCGTCTTTGACTTTGTATAGTCTCACGTCGTCGACGGTACTTTACTCGGTCTTCAGTCACGCTCGAGTTTCATGACCTAGGGGAGTTACTCACCGCATGAGGTTCAGCATCCACGGCGCAAAGTCTCGGAAGTTGTCCAGCAGCTCTTCGCGGTTGCCCTCGGCGCTCCAGGACGTCTCGCTCTCCTGGGATAGCATCGAGTCCGGCACCCGCGCGACGACGTTGAGCATCGTGTTGTTCCGGCACGGGTAGAAGATGATGTTGCGGTGCAGATCGTCGTCGGCGGTCATGAGGTTGAGGAACCCGCCGGTCCGCGGGTCGATCGCTTCCGGCAGCCCGTCGAGCGTCTCCTTCGCCTTGTCCAGTGGGTACACGAACCGGTAAAGCGACGCCCCGCTGGAGATCATCTCCGGCTCGGTGCCGAGAATCGCCTCCCGAACGATGGAGTGAATCCCATCAGCCCCTGCAAATTCATCAACACTCATCCCACTCTCACAAAGCGCAACACAGATGATCTCACCAACAATAACATCAGCCTCAACAACCTTCCCGCCGCCCAACGTCACCCTCCCATGCTCCACATCCACCTCCGTAACCTGCACCCCCTGCACCACCCGCGCCGGCGGCCCCGAGATGCCCAGCTTCGCCGCGTCCCCCGTCGCCAGCCTCGCCAGCTCGTCCTTGAGGTCCTGCCGGTGCATCAGCAGCCACTCGCTGCCGAACGGCTCCGTCACGCCCGTGATCTCGCGCAGCAGGTTGCCCTCCTTGTCGTACGTGCGCGTGCCCGCGCACACGGTCGCCTTCACGGCATCCGCGCGGAACTGGAACGCCTTCTTGAGCATCTTGCTGCCGTTGGGCCCGAGCCCGATGCCGGCGCCGCGCTCGGGCGCGTCGGGCGCGTTGAGGTCGTAGACGACCACGTCGTGCTTCTGGCGCAGGACGGCTGCGGCGGCGAGGCCGGCGATGCCGCCGCCCACAACGGCGATGCGGAGCTTGGTCCCGTTGGTGGTTGTGCTGCTCATTTCTTCAGAACGGTGTCGGCTGCGGCGGTGTTGGGTGTTCAGTCCAGCGTTGTCGCTTGCCTCGAGCCCTTCGCTTGCGTCGGCTGGAGATGAGAGAAAGGCTGAATGTCGATGAGATGTAGTTGGAGTCGGCTATGGCGGCTGCCTCCCCAAGGTGAGGAGTCCCCCGCATGATGGGAGAATTGGTATTTCTGGTGCGACATCAAACGAAATTCTAAACTTAGACGGGTGCGGTTTACGCTGATGTCCCGCAAAGCTTAAAACCTAAACTGGCTGCTGTTTGGCGGAACTGACCAATGAAGCATCCCAGATGTGACGGGACATTTATGCGTGAGGGTATGGGACGGGGGTGTGCTGGGTTTTGGTCCAAACATTTGGTGATGTCAACGAGTCCGAGCGGTTGGCGGGCCGGGTGTCGTGGAATTGGCTTCCGGGGCCGGGGACATGCTTCCTGTGGCCCGCTCCGCTGGAGTCCGCACGGGATCGGAAGGGGGTCCGCTTTTTGGATCATGGTCCGGTGAGATTGTGAAGAGTCAGCATGATTTGGTCAGCTACGGCTCGTTCCAATGGTTTCTCCGCTGCCACCCACTATTCATGGCGTCGGGATAGCTTTGTGGCTGCATATGCAGCAGCGGCATTCCCGCGCGGGAAGCCCGCCTCGGAAGCGCCCCGCAGCTGTGAGCTCGGCCGCCGTCGGACGCCGGGCGGTGCAGGCCCGCAAATAAGACAAGAGCAGCTTGATCAAAACTCTCTCCGCTCCGCTCCGCAAGCCCATCCGGGACAATTGCACACCGAGATTGGTAAGGCCGTATCGTATCGGCACCACCTGGTGCGACGCCACCGAGGGGCGCATCGTCCGAGACATTGTCGCGTCATCAGGCTTTCTTTATCAAGTGTTGCTAGCGCAACTCCGAGGTTAATTCCAGCATTCCACCGGAGACCTTCTGCCATCACACGCGACCATTCAGACCTCATTGTTTCTTCTCATCACACAATCGATTCACCCTCCTCCCATTGTTTCGTGTGACCTAAGCACTCTCGCCCTCTGCAGCCATGTCGAGAGCTTTGTTGATCTGCGGTGCCACCGGCAAGCAGGGCGGCGCCGTGATCGACCACCTCCTCCGGCAAAAGGCCGACTTTGAGATCCTGGCCGTGACGCGGTACGCCGAGTCCGTCTCGGCACAGCGCCTGCTGAAGAAGTCGAAGCAGATCAAGATCGTACAAGGGAACATGGCTGACCCGACGGCGCTCTTCAAGGCGGCAAGGGAGGCCACGACGAACCCAATCTGGGGCGTCTTCAGCGTCCAGGTGAGTTGCGCAAAGCATAGCCGCGCGTCTAGAATACTGTTTCACTGACTGATGTCTAGACCCCGATGGGCATGGACCAAGGCGGCGGCGGCGAGCTCGGCCAGGGCAAGGCGCTCGTGGACGCTGCGCTCGCCAACAACGTCTCCTTCTTCGTCTACGCCTCCGTGGACCGGCACGGCGAGGACTCGCTCACCAGCCCGACCAACATCCCGCACTTCATCCACAAGCACCAGATCGAGCAGCACCTCATCGCCAAGTCCAAGGGCTCCAACATGGAGTGGGCGATCCTGCGCCCCGTCGCCTTCATGGACAACTTCACGGACAACTTCCCCGGGCGCGTCTTCATCACCGCGTGGGAGATGGCGCTGCGCGGCAAGCCGCTGCAGCTCATCGCGACGACGGACATTGGCTTCTTTGGCGCGCAGGCGTTTGTGAAGCCGGAGGAGTACAAGGGGCGGGGCATCTCGCTGGCGGGCGATGAGCTGACGTTTGAGCAGATGGTGGGCGTGTTTGAGCGGACCACGGGAAGGCGGCCGGCGGGGAGCTGGAAGGTGCTGACGTGGTTGTTCATGACGCTCGTAAAGGACTTTGGGTTGATGTTCAAGTGGTTTCACGACGTGGGGTACGCGGCTGATATTTCGAAGTTGAAGAAGGAGTATGCGGGGCTAAAGGATCTGGAGACGTGGTTGAGGACGGAGAGCGAGTTTAAAAAGTATATCAAATGAGGCGGTGGTGGGTGTTTTGGTGTGGCTGTTTCTTTTCTGTTGATCCGATCGGACCTGAGTTTAATTCAAGACATTCACATTTCTTGTTATTGTTTCGTTCCCTCATTCAGAATGCACTTGAATGATGCTAGAGACATTTTGCCTCTGTGTAATCCACGAGATCACGACTTGCTCTCGCTGATGCCCATAGCATATCAAATACCGAGGATATTGAATTTTCATGACGAGTTCTCAACAAAACAAGACATGACATGCATTTCAAATTACACACAGACGCCCGGTAGGCTATCCGCCCGCCGCCGTTGCAGACACGGAGCTGGGTGGGTCCAAGCCGGCGGCACATTGGTCATGTCGGCCTCCGATGAACACCGACGTCAACTTATCGGCCCGCCCGGTCTCAGACTAAGGTACCTAACTCTCAAGTTATGAGTGGCAATCGGGCTCAAACTCCGCAAAGACGTCGCCAAGATTCTTCTGGCTCCGCTGCACTTATGACAACGCACATTGATCGGCTCAAGTTCTAGAGACATCATTCCATCCATCGAAGGTCTTGACTCAGTTTTCCTCCACTTCGATGAGTTTCTAACGCTCCGCCAACGCGTTTACGTGACGCCGTCGTCTGCTGCCTGGGCCTAGAGATATCTCGTAAGCGAAGTGATGCATCTTTCCAGTCACGCAATTGGCATATAAAACTAAACGGTGCTGGACCTATTGCGGTTCTTAAGCATTTCACAATACTCTCACCAACATCAGCATAAAACACGAACATCAACTCAAACATCACTCAACATGTCGAAGCTTCTCACCGTCTTCGGAGCTACTGGAAACCAGGGTGGCTCCGTCATCAAGGCAGTCCTCGCAGACCCCTTTCTCTCCAAAGAATTCAAAATCAGGGGCGTCACCCGCAATGTCTCCAAGCCTGTCGCGCAAGCTCTGGCTGCAAAGGGCGTTGACGTAGTCGCTGTATGTTGTTCTCCCCGGAATTATTCCTGGCCTGCTCCCTAACAACATTCTAGGCCGACATGTCCTCCAAGGCGTCCCTCGCCGACGCCATCAAGGGCTCCGACACCGTCTTCCTCGTCACCACGCCCGACTTCATGTCGGGCGGCGGCACTCAGGAGCAGCTCCACGGCAAGAACGTCGCCGATGTCGCTTCGGAGGCTGGTGTCAAGCACCTTATCTACTCGTCCCTCCTCCACGTCACGGACACAACCAACGGCCGCCTCAAGCACGTCGTCCACTTTGACGACAAGGCCGAGGTCGAGCGCTACATCCGCGCCAAGGGCATCCCGAGCACCTTTGTCCTGCCGGGATACTTCATGAACAACTTTACGGCGCTGCAGATGATCCGCAAGGGCGAGGATGGCGTGTACAACTTGACGTACCCCGTTGGTGATGGGGCTAAGTTCCCGCTCATCGACACTGAGTCCGACGTTGGTAAGCTTTTGTACTCAGACAGACTGGATTTTTGTGCAATAGACAGCTAACAAGTGACGAATATTCCAGGCAAGTTTGTTGTCGCCGCTATGCGCAACCGCGACTCGGTCCTCGGGAAGCAGATTCTTGCGGCAGCAGACTACTATACCCCGTCGCGCATCGTCTCCGAGTTCCAGGAGGTTACCAGAAAGACGGCTCGCTTCGTCCAGATTGATGCGGAGACGTACAAGGGCTTCTTCCCTGCTCCTATGGCTGATGAGATGTTGGAGAACCATTTGTTCATCGGGGAGCCCGGGTACTACGCTGGCAAGGATCTGAAGGAGAGTCTGGATCTGGTCAGCGGTGTTGGATTGAAGCCTACGTCCTGGAAGGAGTTTTTGGAGGCGAATAAGGACGCTTTCCAGTAGACACAATGACTTTTACACAGACAAGTTGTTGGTAACAAAGAATCACAAAATCACAGAATACAGTTCATTGATAGGAGGCCTCCCTTCTTTCGCAGTTCTCCTTTACTTCTCCCAGCCATCCGACGTTAGAAAGCCTCCCGCAGCCACTGCCACCCCCTCGTGTTGGCTCAGTGACATTTCGACTCGCATCAGGAGCTGCTAAATATACGCACAGAGCTTGGGCCCCAGACGTGGTGGCTTCAGAAGGAAGTCTGATGATCCGCGCTATCGCGGTTTTAGTCTGGCAAACAGTCTTCCTTCCATCGTGAGTCCTGACCACGCCCAATCTGGTTTAGTGGCCGGTGAAGCTAGCAACAAGTCGTCGCCGATGCGCATCTTAGTATGTCTGAAGTTCTCATGATCCAATCAAGCCACTGCATATCCTTCGCAAGGGTGCCGTGTGCTAAGAGTTGCGCAAAGACAATGCTACTCCTTCATTTCAGCTCTTTTTTCGGGGATAGGGCTGTGTTGAAACCAGCTGCAAAACATGCCCCGATTGAGCATCCCGCCACCCAGGCAGAATAACAAATGGGATCCAGCCACATCAATGCTTCAACTTGCTTATTCCAACTTTTCTTTTTCCCCCTCCCTTTTTTTCGCTTCTTGAAAACTTTCTGTCGTCTTTCGCGTTTGTGAACTGTCATTTCTGATCAAACCTTCTCCATCCCTCGACTATCTAAGACTGTGTCTCAACTCCACGAGGGATTCGGCTCCCGGCTCCCCACGATGTATCGCGAAATCCTCGGGCTGGCGTACCTGGCCGCGATCGCCTCCGCACAGTGCTACCTGCCCAACGGCACCAACCGGGCGAGCACTTCGGACGTCGGGAAGAACACGTACAAGCCATGCGACGGCAACGGGCACAGCATGTGCTGCAACACGTACACGGGCGACGTGTGTCGGGACGGGTTCTGCTGGAATGAGAGCGGGAGGGTGCTGTGGCGCGAGAGCTGCACCGATCCGACGTGGCAGTCGCCGAAATGCCTGAAGCTGTGTATTGACAGCTCAATCAGTAAGGAACCAGGTCTCGTGGGTTGCAGGGTGGCAGCTAACGGTGCTTTTCTAGAGGTGGACGCGAATAGGACTCAGGCACAGACGGATATCGTGGTGACGCAATGCGCCGACGGGACATATTGTTGTGGGAACGCGGATCCGGCGAGGAAATGCTGCCAGGCGGGAAAGGGCGTGCGCGTTGTTAATGGTCAGGTGGTCGCGTCATCGTCGACAACGTCGTCTGCTACGGCGTCGGCGACAACGTCAGCTTCGACAGCGGACTCGTCGACTTCAGTTGAGACAACGACTGCCGATACATCTGCGGATACATCCGACTCCAGCCAGGACAGCAACCGAGCTGCTATTATAGGAGGGGCTGTTGGCGGAACGGTGGGCGCGCTGCTGCTTATTGGAGGCATCGTGGCCTTCATGTTGCATAGGAGGAAGCAGAAGACTGTTACTGAGGCTACCCATCTTGGTCTCGTCGGTGGTTCTGGGTCAAATGCTTCTGTGACCGGAGGAGGGGACGGTGTTTACTTCAAGGAAATGTCGGCGGACCAACAGCGATTTGAGTTGTATGGAGGAACACCACCGGTAACTCCTGCTCCCTACCTTAGGTAAATGGAGGAGCATTTGCATATTAGGGTTGTAGAGATTGTGGCTATTCATTAAAGCGACGTTGAACATTCATATCATGATTGTGGATCTAGAGTTCCTTCCATCACGAGATATAGGGGTCTCAAGTCAGAGGGTGTGGCTGGGAAACAATACTCCCACCTGAGATCTCATGTGAGAGTGGTATCTGAGGCAGGTACTCCCAGCCTGCACCTTCCTCACTGCCTTCCTGGTATTGACAAAAAGATTTGTTCTCTGACACTAAGATTTCACCTTTCCCTGACCCAGCGGTGTGAAATATTCTCTCAGGCGAAGCTACCTCCTTCTTTCTTTAGCAGCCCAGCCAGCCAAGGCAAGGCAAAAAACGCATCCACCCACAACAAAGATTTCCACCCCTCTTTCACAAACATCACAATCCATCCATACAAAACCCACGCCAGCGTCAAGCACCAGCCAGGATGGTTAAGCTCACGGAGCTTCCGTGTGAGATCATCACAGATATCTTGGAGGAAGGTAGTGTGCGCGACATTTACGCTGCCATCCGCACATGCCGCCGCATCCGCGACTGCTTCAAGCAACGCCCCAGTCTTGCAAGTCAGGTCATACTTCGACAGATCCCTGAAGCGCTTCTCCCATATGCAGTTGCAGCGCTCTATGCTGATCACTTGCCGATTCCCCGGACAGAGGCAATGGTCCAGAACCTAATCACTTGGCTCGATCCTTCTTTCCTACCCACTGCAATTTCCCTTGTCCGAAGATTGGGCCTTGGGAATCTCCTCAAACTCGAGGACCTTCACAACATCATTCACTCCATGGCACTTGACTATGCTAATGAGGCGTGGGACTTCATGCAGACCACAAACATGCATGTCCCGAGGCCCGGCACGCTTCAAATGTCGCGAAACGAGTACCTCCGCTTCTGCCGGGCGTTCTACCGTGTGGAAATCCGACACTCCATTGAACGCCCCAAGCCTGTCGGACCTCGTCGTCCTAGGGCCTGGAATGAGGGCGAGGATTTTCTTCATCCCTTGCCGTCGTATGATCGGGAGCAGATGGGATGTGTCCTAGAGTATCAGGAGAGACTCTTCCTGAACAGTGAGTTGCTCCTACCAAATGCCCGAAGAACACTAGCACTAACAGCTCTTTATCAGGCGTCCACGAGGTACTCGCTCATGATGTTGCAATGGGGCATATTGGCGTTAACTACGTGGAGGCGCACGAAGACCATGTCATTCAAGATTGGGCAAGTACAGCATCAGGAGATTCACGACGTTGAATTACTCGTGCCCTGTCCTCTAGCTATCCTTCTTGCCTCCTGGCTGTCAGCTAACATCGTATCTCAGCTGAAACACGGACTACGCTTCCTGGTCAAGATCACCAGCGACCTTTCTTACGATGAGAAAAAGAATCTTCTCTACGCCAAGTACGGTCCCGGCGAATGGGCCGACCTTTGGAAGTCGCTCGACGCCGACCGTGACTGGCTCGAGGAAGACCGGCAGCTGGCAGATGACCCCTGGGTCCAGAACGAAGACGGAGGCCTTATTCATGTTTTCAAAGACAGAGTTGACGCAGTGGACCTGGATCTCGGTCCTAGGGGGGCTTTCATGCGATCTATTAGCCGTGCGCTTGCAGACCTGACGACGATTGACTCCATACCCACCGATGGGCTCCGGGATCGCGCCTATGTCCTATGGGACCGGGATCGCCTCCTCCAGCTTCAGGCAGGTTGGGTGTTCCCCCCTGGTTCATTGAACCCTATGGACTTCCTCGCGTATGAGCCGAAGCCAAGGCGCAGACCAGCCTATCGTGAGCGATTAGCAGCGGAGAAGGCTTTGAAGGAGTCATTCCAGGCTCGCAAGGAGATTTGGGACAAGGGAGGCTCCGGCTATTGGAGCGCCGATGACCTCAGCAAGGTTGTATGGGGTGGAGAGAGATGGACTCCTCATGAATATCCACCTAAAGACCGGTGGTGAAGAGAGCGAATGTGAGGCTGGGGTGGGAGGAGGTGTCGCCAATCCGGCAGAGACTGCATGTACAGTAACAAACTTATGGGTAGCTGCCTCATAAGAACTATTCGCAGCACAGCTTTGAACTAAAATGTAAGAGACCTTTTCTTCTGCGAGGAATCCATTCGACAAGCCTGGGAGAACAGGACGAAATACGAAAAGCAGGGGGGCTGACAGAGGCGGACGGCAGAGGCAGACAGCAGAGATGGCAGAAAACACCACGCGCAAGCTACAAAACCTAGGGGAAGATAAACATCACCTCGACAAGTAATTTACAAATCGTGCCGTCTCGACTTTTCCTTCTCGTTTCCATTGATTCCTTGCTCTCCTGCGTGTCATCATCGTCGTGCTAGTTGTCGTTCCTGCCTTTTGATGGGTTCGCACCTGCCTTAAGCAATCGCCAGATTTTTCACCTTTGCTTCGGAGCTGGGGCCGACCCATCTCAAGCTTTTCTTCCCCCTTCTCCCACTTCGACCAGAGAAAGTGTGGAATCTCTCTCCTGCCATCTACCAGCAGCGACGCCTTTTCGCTCAGGAAAGGTCTCCCACCCTCAACATCGCGAGAGACTCTATTGTCGGCCATTCGCCATTTATTCCCTCTTCACTCCAAGGCGACGACTACGAGAAGAAGCGCTGATCGTTCTTTCGAGACTTCTGCATTCATTTTCGTCGCGGGTTTCTCGTGATTGGCAATCCTCTTCCTCATTCCCACGCAAATCACGCGAAGGTGTTTCCTATTTGCCCGGCGTTTGGATAGCGATTCCAAGTCCCCGATAACCCAAACAACCCTTCGGTCAGTTATCCGTTCGTATTCTTATCCTTCACAACTGACAATACCAGAGGCGACGGATAGATACAGATGTGCTTGTCGGTATCGCTAGACTTTCACCTCCCGTTCGATTTTACGTTTTGTCCGTCTTGAGAAACCCCCGCCTCGGACGCAGCCAAGCAACGTTCTTTCCTACTCACAGGGCTTCTGATTTGCAATCTCAATTCCACGACGAAAGGCCACACTCAGTCATTCATCTGTTATTTCCTCATCTTCTACCTGCGGCGACAACCTAGCAACAGTGCCAGGTACAGAAAGACCCCGAAGTTCACTGTCAGTCATTCGCCTAGCATTATTCCCTCTCATTACTGACAGTACTAGCGACGACAGCCAGAGACCTCCATCCCCATCTGCGCCAAAATGATACTCATCACCAATCTTCCGAAAGAACTCATCGGTGCAATCGTGGCGGAGATTAGCACCCTGGAGGACCTCAACAATCTAATGAGAGCCTCGCGTTGCTTCCTCGAAGCCGTCCACGCGTGGCCAGCCATCCCCCACATAGTCCTGCGCCGCCAACTCCTCATGGAACTCCCTTCGGGCCTCATGGCCTACGCGATAGCAATCGTCGAAGCCGGCAACTTACCTCGCCCACGATCGTCCAAGCATGCCGGCAGGGCCATGTCGAGGGTCCTGTATCAAGTGGCCCATGACCCTGGTCACAGCTTAGACCTGGTCCCAACTCTTTCTTTCAACTCTCTCATCAAAATAAGGGACAAACACAAGACTATTCTGAGTTTGGCAAACGCAATGGCACAAGATGCTTGGAAAATGCTCCGAGACGTGGATGGAGTGGTTTCAGGAGACTTGGTTCTATCGAGACGAGAGCAACATCGAATCACCAAAGCTATCTACGAAACGGAACTACTTTCGACGGTTTTTGGCGACGAGAGCTGGGAAACAGCAGACTTGGACGTCTTTTACGGTGCAGACGGAGATATTTATCTTGCGTCTAAGACCCCTTGGGAAATCGAGGCCATTGGCTGTGTCTTGGACTTCTTTGAGAAGAGACTGTTCGAGGGTAAGTGTTGTCTCCAACAGCTTTTTACCAAAGACACAATTGCTGACAGCACGCCAATCTTGGACAGTTGCGCTTGACGTCTTCACTCACGATGTTGAATTTGGCTGGTCCAGTTTTGATTACGTACGTCGGGGAAGCGATAACGGAGACACGATGATGTTGGTGAGTCTCCAGCTTGCGCGCCGATGTGTTTGTTCAGCTCATCTTACAAAGGCATTCAACTAGGTCTCGGGTGGTGTGAACTTTGTTCACATGCTAATTCAGGAACCTTCTTACCAAAACAAGCGCAACATGCTTTGGACCAAGCACAATGACCCAGATGCAGTGCTAATTAGTATCATGCTTGCGGAGTTCTCCCGTTCCCCCCTCCGACAGCCCAGTTCACAGCAGCTGGCGATCTGGTACAGAGAACAATACCCGCAGGCTGGAGAGGATCTTGACGACAAAGGCCCTCAAATGGCCTTTGATCAGACTCTGCTGGGGCAGCCTCCATTCTTTCACCCAATCTACGCAGGGCAGAGGGAGAGGGGCTATATCTTTTGGGACGCCAACCGCCTCATGGCAAACAATCACAAACTCCTCAACCTCGTCAAGAGAACCCTGCCTACCACCAATCAGACCTGCCACCTGACTTCGCGCGGTATGGTTTATGAGGATAATACAGCAGCTCGTCTCTTGGCGATGGAAGCGAGCTGGGACGAGCGCGCCGCCATTTACGAGGAAGGCGGCAGAGGCTACTTGAAAGATGGGAACTATAACGGAATCCAGTGGACAGGAGAAAAGATGAAGAATTCGCATGGAGAGCAAGACGAAACCAGCGACGAAGATAGCGATGACGAAGAGTAGGGACGGCGGGCAAGGAGGTGCAGTGGCGGCTGAGGATGAACCAATACCCTCTTGGAGAACGATGCATCCCATGGTGGACCGGAATGAGCGCATCTGACCGCCGTGATAATCTCACGATTATTGTAGGATAATTATCGCGCAGGCAATTGATTCGCACACATATCGGCATGCTTCCGGACGCTTCGCTTGCAATATCATCTCGTGAACATGGAGGCTGACGTGGAGTGGCACAGAATAACCACCCGCATTTCATCTCGCGACCGGACCAAAACATCACCAGGTTGCCGTATGTCGTCAAACCCCCAGTGCATCATCACATGTATTCCCCAACATCGCTTCTGTAGGCTTAGTCATCACTGGCTCGATGATGCACGCGGTTCTTCTTAACCGGATGAGGGGGAAGATCTGAGGGCGTATCAACCCCGCGCCAGCCGGCGCTGGCGGCAAAGCCAAGAGGGCATCTCCTCATTCCTTCACCTCACCTGATTTGAAATCCACGTCATCACATAGGCCGTCTTCAAATTCATGTCCCAAAAAACCGCGATGTCTTCAACGCAATCTGAGCGCGCGATGGAGGTCGCCCTCGCCATCCCGGAGCTGCTCGAGTCCATCCTGGTGCACCTGGACATGACCACGCTGCTCGTGTCTGCGTCGCGCGTTAGCAAGTCGTGGAAGACGCTGATGGACGCCTCGCCGGCGATCCAGCAGGCGCTCTTCTTCAAACCGGTGGTGGTGGCCGCTGCGCCGTCGCGGGATCCTGACCATGATCTTGAGGACGACGTGGAGGCCGGTGGTGAAGAACAAAGAGATGCTGCTGCCGGGGCGAAGTGCAAGCGCGCCCGCCCCAGGATCAACCCGCTGCTGGCGAAGAAGTTCGACAAGTGCTTCTTCGACTTTGGACAGACGTACTCGCTCCATCGGCGGGCGAACTCCTTCTACGAGATGCCGTGGTCGCGGCAGCCGATCCGCGCGGTCCAGGAGATCTGGGGAGGCTGGAGCCAGCTACGCCCAGCGGACCTCGACGCTGAGACGGAGCAGTCCGAGAAGGAGTGTCGTCGGCGATTCACGCGTCGCGGCGCAAGCTGGCGGCGGATGCTCGTCTCGCAGCCGCCGCCGCCGTCGCTGGGGTACATCAAGTTTGACATCTCGGAAATGCCCACCGAGGGCCACAGGGTCTGGAGCGCGGCCTTGAAACCAGGATCCGACGAAGCTGGGCTGCGCATGGGCCAGCTGTTTGACCTCGTGCAGGACGAAGTCGGGCACCACGGGCGGCACTCGCTGTGGTTCCGGGTGCTCTGGGGCAAGCCGACGAGCAGCTTCGCGATCTCGCGCGTGAAGGAGACGTTTGAGCGGTTGATGGCGGAGACGCACGTCGTGGTGGAGCTCATGCACGCGGACGACACGTCGCTGCCGAACCACCCGCAAGACCCGGCTGACGTGAGCGTGTTCGACGAGGCGTTCCGGTGTGACGAGCACACCGAGGTGAAGGTCCACACCGAGGAAGCGCTGGTATATCCCCCCGAGTTCCCCGAGTTCGACGGCCGTTTTGTCATTTGGCACTGGAAGCTGCTGGAGCACGAGCGCAACTCGGGCTAGGATTGCTGGTCTGGCTGAGCGTGGGAGTAATTTGCGGTCCCGGGAAGTGGGGTTGCCAGGGGTTGCTCTCGGGCATTGTTTCCGTGGATCTTCGAACTTTCGAGACCTCTTCCATCTTGGCGACTGAAGAGAGGCTGTACTTTGTTTTTCTCTGAGTTTGTTGGTATGGATTCCGGGGACTGTGAGGTTGTTACTGCAGTGTTGGTTGCGTTTCAAACATAGTCATTTTACGGTATGGCGAGCATACGACGTCTACAGTGTATTTTATCAGCAGCTATGTCTGGGTTAGAGGGGACGCGTGGCACTCGTGGCTGAGAGCTATTCGATCATGTGTGTAAAGTACAAGGCAAGGATAATGATTAAGTTGTGATGATCAGTCTCTTGGTGTTTTTAAGAGATCCTCTCTAACAAAGCAAATGCCCAGGATAACCGTTTTTCCTGTTGCTTTGCTGATGGGCCTTGTGTAGTGAGAGGCCTATCACGGGCGATATCAGACGATTACTGTGGCTCCCCACGATGTCCAGCCCCTGAACACATAATTTGACTCATGTGGTGGGTTTGCTTGTGGCTACCAGTCCAATAGTTGTTTCAATATTTTTTTCATGCATTAATTCCGTTTTTGTCCACTTCACACAGCCCCGTTACAGAATCAGCCTTAACCGACCCTACTTGCGCTCCGTATCTTCCCCAAATTACCCCTTGATTGCGACCTTGGTCCCAAAATCGTGGTATGCCCCGTCCTGTGAGCCGTATCGTTCCGCGTATCTCCTCGTCCCACCCGCTCGTGTAACTGGGTGCGCTTTAGCAGGTCCAGACGTAGGTGCACTTGGTTCCCACGGGAGTGCAGCTGGTCTTGCCCTGGTTGCCCTCGCCGGAGAAGTGTCCGTTGTTGTTGCCGCAGACGAGCTGAGGGCTGGTGTACTGGGTGTCGACATCGCAGGTGAGGTCGCTCTTGCAGGTTCCGGACAGGTTCCAGGTCTCGGCGAGAGCCAGAGGGGCCAGGAGAGCGATGATGGTAGCGAACTGCATTTTTGCTGTTGTTGATGTGTAAAGATGCGTTGAAAGATTGGTGGTTTTTGGAACGAGGGACTAGAGTTGAGGTGCGTTGTCGATGATGGTCATTTAAAACCAGGAGCCGTTCGAGGCCAGCCGTATTTATAAATATTTCTTCTCTTGCCCATTCTCACCTATTCTTTCATTGCCCCTTGTCGTGGTATCAGTCAGCGGCCTCGAGGCATACAGAATGTATCAAGGCGGTCTGGGGGCTAGGTATCTGGGGCTTTACCGAGCCTGACTCGTAGACGTAGATCATAACTTGCTCTGTAGTCGGAAGGCCCTGTCTGTACGTTTGTATTCAAAAGTGGCAAGTCGAACGGCTCCTAAAGCCGTTACCGAGTCATGGGATGGAGTCGTCTAATAAGGGAGTCGGTCGTGGGCCGACGGGATACTTTGTGGGCACCTCATGTTGCTCACTGTGCGGTTAGACTTATCAGCTATTCGGGGCGAGGCGGTGCCTTGTCTCCGTAGCAGCAGACGGAGTAGTCCGGAGGACGGAATGCGACAGCTTCGTACAACCTCTTATTGCAATGCGAGAACTTCGTACAATCGGACTCAAGGTTTTCCCGAAACGAGCATTTCTTGAATTAATGGCATTTTTACGAGGAAAAGATAGATTCGCAAATAGTATATTGTTCTCGGCAATGGGAGTCCCGGTTAGGTATATTTCACCCGAGTTGCTCGCAAGATGGGAGACAGTGTCTGCCCACTAGTTTTCCAGTGTCACAGGCTCGCAGGGCCTTATGAATAGGTGCCGATGTGTTCACATGCAGGTCCAACTTCGTCGCAACCTCCGACAAAGGAGACATAGAACAACGGCGCACATATATTCTGTGACGAGATGTTTATCAAAGCTCAATATTCACTTTTTGAACTTTTATTCTGAACAGTCCGTATACTCTCATAGGATCGCCTAACTCACTATTTACAAGCACTGGCACATTATACGAGCAGGTAGTGGTCGAGATTTTTAAAAGAGGTGTAAATTTGCGAACTTCAAGCAATCTAAAAACCGTCCAGACCCATCATTCATGTACTGAAGTGTCCTCAATGACCCGGCAAGCTCTCAATCTAGCACATCAAGAACCCACCCGTAGCAGCCCCCTTGTGCGTCATGATACCACAATAATAAACCTGTGGGTTTCCATCGTAGCTGATTTCGCCATCCTCGTAGTAGAAGACAACCCTCTCATCGCCCTGCTTGACATTGTTCTTTCCGCCGTCATACGGGCTTCCATTCATAAGTGGGAACTCATAACGGCTGTCATCCGCGGGACAGTCCTTGGGAAAGTTGAGCTTAACCCCCTTGGAGTCGTCGTTGGGGAACGGGTGTGGGTATTGGTTTCCTAAAGTAATGTTAGGATACAGCCGGGAGAGAGATTGGATGACCAAGTAACGAAGTAGGTGGAGAGAAGCGTAAGTAAAAAGCAAATGATTAAAGAACTCACGGCCGCGAGTTTCGCCCACGAGGTGGAGGTTGGTGCCTCGTTGAGCAGCAAGGTAAATTTCATGCCCGCTGTAAGTCTTGTCTCCGCACTTGAATGAGCCAGAGGAATCGGGGCCATTATGAAGCTGGATTTTCAAGTCGTCAGCATTCTGCTTCAGAGTCTCATCATATTTTGGAATGCCTTACGTTGATGGGCGCATTGGACGGAACTCGAGCCTCAAGCTCAGTTGGAAGCCCACTGGCCACACCGAGGAGGACGAGAACAGACGCGGAGATGGAGAATCTCATTATGACGATGGTAAAATTCAAGAGGTAATATTTTGTTGTCCGTGAGAGGTAGATGATAAGTAAGTAGAGTTTTGTTGATTTGAGTTGTTGGTAATTATGATCGAAAACTTGGAGAGATGCTCGAGGGCTTTTATATTCAATGACTGCTATGCATCACCCTCTGTGCTTACACGTTGTTCGGCAGATAATCGTCGATTCAAGCGCATACTTAGGTAGGTCGCCCCGAAGTCTTCGTAACCCGAATAAAGATAGAAACATGAGAAAGCTGTTCGTGAGAGCTGAGAACGCTAACTTGACACGGCGCAGTAACAGGCAGCGAGTCTACAACTGGTGACCTTGGGCCAGGCAGTGTTAATCCTAAATCAAAGACATTCGCTGATCATACCGTCCATCGCCGAAAACCTTCAGCCAAGATGCAAGACACTCTCGCCACGAGAAAGGTCACTTCATCGCGATGTCAATCACAGAATCATCGCGAGGCTGAGAATGCATCGCCCGATGCCATGAATCCTTTTTCTGGGCTCGATGAAACCTCGGGGCCTGATTGACGCTGACAGATCAGGCTGCGTGGTAGATCTTTACCATTGTAACCTTTTTTTTCGTTGGCTACCTAGAAAGCGACCCCAAATTTTCGGATTCCGCCTCCGTGTCTGAGCTGAGCCTTGTCAGCTGGCCCCCGCGTGTCTTTGAACAAATTGCTTTGGGACCCCAGTATTACTCAGAATCATCATTGAATCCGTTTATGTATCATTGGTCAGAATGTCTTGGTGAGCCGCAGTATGCCTTGTGACGTCAGTGAGGCCAAGTGACTCGGGGGCGATAAATAGTGGGGCTGCGCCCGACCCATCGCAGCTGATTGAGAAACAACACGACATTTATATCACAAAGTCATACGTCTCGATCACTGCCCGAAAGAACACCAGAGCACAGATTTCTCCCTGCACTTCAAGAGGATTACGAATCATCATGTCCGACGATTGGTTTTCTTCCAAGCTCGCCCCGGACGGCAGCGTCGAAGACGGATGCCATCCCCAAGAGGCACAGGCAATGAAAGACTACCTGCACCAGAAGACAACTGCAGCCGATGCCGCTCGAGTCATCACCCATCCGGTCGTGACTGCCGACAACCCCGGAGAGGACCTCGTCCGCCTATGGGGATTTCTAATGGATTCTCTCGTGGAATTGCCAGCACAGCACATCGAGTCATTGGTAGAACTGCTCAAGGCAATTGAGAACCTCTCAGAGCCCGACTTTACATCTCTAGACGAGAGCAAGCGGCCCTCTGAGAGACTGTGGAAGGGTCTCCCGGGTTTTGGTAACCTATGGGCCGATTCATATCAATCTGGGAGCTGGAGGAAGGCTGCCGCGGCGGCTGAGGGGCCAGAGCGTGACGCGCTGCGAGACGCACACGTTAGGAAGGCAGAGATTGAGGCGCGGTTGGTCGCGGCTGGCATTGGCGCCATCCCAATTGACTGGGGTTATGAGGCCGTCGCCGACGCCTTGGAGAGCAGCAACGCACTGCTTGATTTTGAGGTTCCGGCTGCGGCAAAGTGGCTCGTTGTCTGTGGTCAGCGGTTCCGAAAGGGAGCGGAGGATGGTGAAGAGAGCTGGGCGCTGAAGCCACATGTCACAGCATCGATCAGCACCCCTTCTCGGGATCTGTCGAAAGCATCTTGGGACCAGAAGCTGAGTTTGGAACGATGGTCGCGGTGGGAAGGGCGTCTGAGAGAGCTGCAGGGAGAGCAGGGATTTGTTCAGGATGCAGCGACGACGGCGCTTGGGGCCATGAGTAAGGTATCCGGTGCCCAATCGTGAAGAAGGCAGATGATTATAGGGATGAGTAGACGCAATGAACAGAAGTCAGCTCTTGAGAGTCTATGCAGCACCATATTGCAACTCCCCAGACCGACCAAGATGATAGAGACAACGAGAACGAGAACGAAAACGAGGAGTAAGAATTCGCAAGGGTAGACGTACGTAGCATAAACAGCTTATCGCTTCTGATAAAAGCACTAAATCGAGAATGGGAAGTATTAGCACCGGTACAATGTCCAATACGCTTTTCGAAAGGTGGGTTCTATGAATGTTGTTTCCGGTAGTTCCATGCAATTTCTAACTGATGTATGCGCCCGGGATATTGCGTTGTCTTATGTTGTAATACAATTTTTGCGGAGCTGGCGCAAGCGAGCTTGGGATGATGATCTAGATACCCTTGAAAAGACGCTGTTCCAAGGCGGTCTGCCACCGCCGAGGATTTCTTAAGGTAGTCTGTCCATCTCACGGGTTGGTTAGGAAAGCGAAGAGTAGCATATTTCCGAGGGAACGATGGAGAGAGTGCAACGAGCCTCCACCCGAAATTGAGAGAATAAGACGGAGGCTAACTAACAACAAGCCATTGAATTCATCGGGCTTTCCTTCATGCAATGTTCGCAACGGCTTCAAGGAACAATAGCAACCCCAGTCACTTCTTCTATTGTTTTAACTCAATCCTCATTTGCAAACAGCCTCTCAGAAAGGAAGTGGATGTAAACCTGCTCTGAGTATTCACTTCGCCACTCGGTAGTTGTTTAAGCAACCTTCAAAGTCACACAGCTTTTAAGCCCACCATCACGATCACTCTGAATAAGCATGCACTTACCAGGCACAGGAAGATAGACTTATTTAGGAATGATCGACAAGTTTAGGTTGACTGTATTGTTGTTCTGCCTTGACCTAAACCTCTTGTGGCGAAGGTGGGTGGTAGAATTGGATGGCTGTGTCACCTCTGCATTTATTCCAGCCTGATCCCTTTGCGGAATAAAGGTACGAAAGAAGCAGCGACAATGATTGGTCAAGTTCCAGAGTTGCAGATGCAATGTTACTATGCGGTCATCATGTACCGTCTCGACATCCAATCACGTCTGCATCAGCGTTTCGACGAAAGGAATGTGCCTTAGTCTGCTGTATTTATTCAAATCCTCTCTTCGAAAGGTCCTACGGCAGGCTTGGTTCAGCTGGGGGGCGAGGGTTTAAATACGGCCGTTACAAATCCTTCTCGCTTACTTGAACTTGCTGATATTGTCTTTTTCTCCATTCTGTGGTGTTGACTTTCTTCTTTCACCCTTCAATCTCCCCTTCATTTGTTAGAGGCATCGTCCTGTTGTCAAGTTATCCAACATGAGGGATGAACTTCGCTCGTCCTTCCAATCCGATATTACCTTGAGATCTGAAGTCAGTAGTTTGAGCTGCCGTTCAGATTTTGAGAATTCGAACCTAGGGGAGCAATCGGCATTATGTCCAAACATCGAGATCTCGGATGTGGAAATATCACTGAGGGATGTCTGCGATCACGGCAAGCAAAAGGATACCCGGAAGAATTTTCCCATCGAAGGTACCAATAAGTACCTTCCGATACCCATTTCCGAGTCAACGAAAACCGAGAAACCGCCTTCCTTGTGTCGCAGCAAATGGATAGCTGTCGACCCGACTAGCATTTGTGTCTTGGGTGTTGGTACTTCGCTCATCATCGCTTCCTTAATCTTTTTGGGCTATATTTGGAATCATTCCATGCGCGCCATGGCTGGAGACAATATGGAGGGGACATTTTGGAGTCATATTGTGTTCTCCAACTGGACATCCAGAACCGTTACTGTCGCCGCGGCTATAATTCGGATTGCCCTATCCCTACAGATGGGCGTTTTCACCGCCATGATAGCATCGCTGATGATAGAGAAGGTCGGCGTTCCCTTGAACATGGCTCCAACAGTCTCAATACTAAGGGCAATGCCTGCGTCACCATTCACTCTATTCTGGACAACATTCTCGACCTTTTCATTTGATGGTTTGACGTACAAGGTTGCTATTGGGATTTCCGTCATTTTGGCAATGACTTCTCAATTTGCATCTACTGCTCTTCTATCTGATTTTGCAATGGTAAATGTCACTGCCGCCCAGACAATCTCGAAAATTGCGTACGCCAAATCAGAGCCTACTCACGTCTCTTTTGCTTCAACTATCTGGACCTTACAACCATGGACATATTTCAGATTTGCAGAGAGATGGCAACCCATCGAAGACAAGCAACTGACATCTGACTACGAAGATACGGGTGCTATTACACGGGCAATCCTACCTTTTGAAGCTCAGTCGAGTCGCACTCTTTTACGAAAATATGAAGGGCCTGCCACGCTTATTGACTCAAGAGTCTTTTGCGTCCCGCCTCGAATTATTCATAACATTACGCTCACGTTGCCACTCGGGGGTAACGTATCGGGCGTCGAAAACCCTCCTTATTCGAACGAATACTTCATGACCGGGGAGTTCAAACTTGAGGGACCGTTTTCGAGGCTCCACACGCTGTTTCCAGATCTTTCATGGGGCATTGACTGTGTTGTGTCAGCAGGAAATCGTTCCAACGAGAGCGAAAAGGAAACGTCCGAGAGGCCAATTGAAAATTTCTCAATGTGTTCTGTTTCTACCCAAAGCGACGGTCCTTTCCTCCCACCTAATGCCAATCTTTCTTTCTCCCTACCTTCATCTTATCCCAATGTGTTCCTCATGATCACTAGCGCTGGTACGGTCAGGGACTGGGTTGAAGCGATGGGGACTGACGATATGAGTTGGTTGGATGGAAACGACTCTCAACCTGATCCACGGACTTGGAATGCCGATGATTTAAGAGGGCCTAGCGAGGGGATATGGGCAAGCATCCAACCACCCACGCTGCCGGACGGCATCAAACACACGCGCAACTTGAGTATATCAGTCAGCGCCTGTTTTGCTAATCTCGAAGGTCACATTCGGAAAGTGAACATCTCCAGCAACACCAATGGAATCGACCCCCACTTAGACATTCGCAATAACTTTACAGTTCGTTACGATACGCAAGCCGTTCCAAACCAGTACTTGGTTTCGGCCAACCTTTCAGCGAACGATCGAGGTATCATGACGCTACTTGAAGAAAGAGGAAAGGAAAACGAAACAAGCGAGGACGATCATATGTCCATGAGTCCTAGCATATCCTTCCGAGGGATACCTGTTGGACTGCCCTCTTGTGGTATCCTGCATTGTGCAACGCTTCAAATTGGCGGGAAATCATCTCGCAACATTCACCAATCCTACGCAGTGCTCTTTCAGGGGGTTATGAAGAGGACAGGTAGAGTCACGGAGGCTCTCCAGGCGGTCCTAACATTGGCTCAGCAAATGGAATACTACGAGAACTACCATTCCTTTGATCAATTTGCCTCGGTATCATACTCGCTTGCGCAAGAACAATTGATTCCTATACGTCAGATAGGTTTCAGTATCGTGGCAGGCACCTGCGGCATTCACTTCATCCTCCTGATCGGAACGATGATATGTTTTGTTCGTTACACCAACGCAACCTGTTTGAGCAACATGTGGATGTCAATTAGTCAGATTGTTTGCTCGGAAACGGAGGAAATGATTCAGAACTCTACACGCAGACTGGATAACGAGGTTAGGAAGGTCATTATGGACACCGAGTCACCTTCTGGTAACTCAGGCCTGAGGCAAAGAGTCAGGGTGAGGAGTAATGAGCAAAATAGGAGAGATGAATTGATAAGATTTTGAGCCACTGTTCTGAAGGCTCAAGTACTACTCTTAGCTTTGTCGCAGACTCAAGTTGAAGCATTTAGTCTTTCACTCCGCCGCCTAGAGCCCATTTGCCCCCAGTCTTCCGTAACTCGCCTCCGATCCCAGACGGCACCAACTGATAATCATCCTTGCCCACACCACACTCCCCTTGTTGAAAACGGCTCTCCATTCCAGCTTTCTCCGTAGCATTGATAGCAAAGATCGCCGGCAACGTCGAGCTTTTGACAACGGCGATGTTAGATGTAGCGGTTTCGATAACAACCAGGACAAGGAAGATGATGGAGAAGAGAATCTGAGCTGCCAAAAGCGCCAGCCAGGGCCAATGAACGTCGACATATACTTCAGACTGCAACGCCTCGCCGATCACGTTGGAATTCGCACCCAGTAGCCTGCTCATGGACATCAGTTTTGTGCCCAGAATTTACTCGGAAAACGGTTCTCGCGACTCACGAATTGGTCAGACCCATCGCTATGTTCCGCGCCATTCCATCTACGGCATCTTGCCAATTGCCAGCATCTCGGATAGCTTGTAGAAGCATTGCACTTCCGTCCTTGATACTATTGCTTCCTACGTCTACAGTCAGACTTGGCAGTGAATCGTCCAAAAGGGTTTGGATCCCAGCAACCCCTGTTCCGCCGAATATATACTTGTTGCCTTCGTCCAAGGGCGACGTAAGATAGCTGATATTCCCACTTCCGCCATTAGGCCATTCCATATCACCGCTGCTAACCTCAGTGTGTGACAGGACTCTCTCTACGGAGATATTGTTATTTGTTACGGCGGCATTACATGTGTTGATGCACCAGTGGAGGATTACTTCGCTGAGATCGATCTCTTGGCTACCAGAGCCGGGTCCCTGTACGGCAAAGTAATTGTACAGAGACGCCTTTTCCATCTGTGTGTTTTTGTATGACAAGGTCGGCTTGCTCTCGATGAGTACGGTCGAATACCCATAGGTAGTATGCAGTTTGATTCCGTTTGGCAAACTGATGTTGGTGCCCGTTGCCCCTTCTCTCTCTGGCCTGGTAATTTCGGCGAGATGGGTAATGTCTGAGTATCGCTGTGTAAGTGCACCATCACATAGGGTTGTTCAGAACGGAGAGGGGCCGCCACAGAAGAGAGTGTTATTAAGGGAAAAGAAAGGGGGGCAATTCGCCGTGACTTAACTTGTGACGTTGTAACATACAGCCAATGTGCTGAATTGAGGCCATGTGCAGTTGCTCGTAACGCATTCAGGCTCTTTGAATGAAATTGGTTCTGTCACTGGCGAAAATAGCCCCTTTGAGACCCCCCTTGCAGGGGCAGCCATGATGCTCCCTTTTCAATGTGGACTTAGTCTCAATTGGCTATATGAGGGAATATAGACACAGGCATACTTATCGAGTTTTGATGAGCAGTTACCCAGAAATAGTACGGCGTTCTCCATGCAGCTGCACTACCCTCCGTGGTGATTGTCACATTTCGAGATGGATACGTTACGGTAAACTGCGTGAGTGTTGACGTAGCAATGGCCGACGTGAGCAAGAGAGCGGACACAATGCCAACAATCCTATTTGAAACTTTAAGCACTCGTGTTCTTGAGGCCTCAGGCGTTTTAACTTACCATCCTTTTGTACGAACAAGTAAGCCAAGGCTACCCCACGGACCTCTCGATGCTTGATCAAACATGTCAAAGTCCGTAAGAGGCCGAGGTTTTTTCTTGTACCACGCCCACTTGCTTTGTGAGAGGCCCTCCAATACAGGAATCAGGAATGCTGTCCTTGCGATCGTGGAAAGAGCGGCTATGATGGTGTTGAGTGTAATTCCGGATGGCCATCTGGGAAGAGGCTTCTGGTTGAATTCCTTGAGGACAAGGACCAACGCCACGAATGCTGCAAGGCTGATGGCACACCACAAGATCTCTTGCCACCAGCTTTTCATAATGCTCAGTGATCTTTTCGACGTTCGTCGCTCGACGCTGGCTCCTTTCGGTTCATGGCCACTGGGTTCTGATCTTCGCGACGCAGAGTCGTGATCGTTCTCGGTGGCAGCATCAAAGTCGTCATGAATATTATCCCTTCGCGTAGGTGTATCGAGTAGCGGTTCGTGGGCTGCTTCGGTGTTGCGTATCGGGACAGGCTTTCGCGCGATGTGCTGCGCGGGGTTGCGGGCGATGCATTCGTCGTCCATCGTGGCCAAAGGCTCCCAGTTCGTGTGCGCAGCCTTACTCTGGCTTCGCAAGGATTAGAGGTCGCGCCCCTTTATGTGCCACATTCCAATGCACTATTTCACTTCTGAAGCAGGGCACACGGAGCCGTTGCAACTGGTTCGCTTGGAATCGATGTGCAGGAGGGCCATACAACCCAGTTTACCGACTTTGCCACAAACGGCTGGTGAAAGCCTTAAGCTGAAAAAGGATTAATTGCGTACGGCACAGTTAACGAGCGGTGTCTTCCGAATGGTGTGCCCATGGCCTATCAGTTGGTTGAGATGGAATAGGAGTAATGCATGTCAGCTCTTGGCAGATCAAACCCGCCATTCAACTTGCTAACACAACGCACACACAAGAAAGTGCACAAATACCCGCGTCTAGGTGAGTGTGCGTAAACAGGGTTGACTTTACATGCTGAACTCAGATGTATTTTCTTCATCGATCAAGACTCTATCGCTCTCTTGCGTGCTGCAAACCTCCAGGGCTGATAACATTAATCTTTCTGAAAACTACTCTTCTCTGTTGAGAGATATCAGAAGGCTCACGTAGAATGGGTATGCAAGATTTCGCTTCTTCTCAAGTAGTTATGAATCGATCAAATGGCCCGTCCCCAAAACGTTTCACGAGATTTCTATGCCCCGGATATCCATTCTTGAGAACTCGTCAGTTAGATGAAAGCATGCGTCCGCATAGTAGCTCAACAACAAACTACTTCATTGCTCCAAACTGTTAAAGGCTTAGACTATGCTTTGCTTTTGTTTCTTTGATTCGTCGTCATTCTGGCCATGAAAGTCCCCTTTCCTCATAACTATGATCTCTGCCCGTCTGATTGATCTCTGAATTTGTTGCAAATAAATATCCCCAGGATTGTAAATTGTATGGCTCCAATGAACGACCTAATTACAAATCCATCTGACAGCTTCATCATCTCGGGACCGAGAAACCGCACGATCCCAATCCCTGCCATTCCTGGCCCCAAAATTTCCACGTTTTCTAGCACACGGCCCCTTCCTTCATGTAACAGCCACCAGCGTCGATACTGGACCAGAGGCTTTTCACAAATAAAGATTTGTGGTTAATCCTACTCTAATCCTCTTCCCTCTCCAAACATGAGGAGCTCGAATCGCACAGAGGTCAATGCGAGACTTCCAGGAACTACTGCTCTAATGGGTGTGTAGCTTCGGCAACCATCCCACACCAATGCACCCGAGAGCAAAACGGAAACTCAATTCCCCCATCGTCGGATTCGGATTTCTCGAAATCTCCAGCGCAGGCAATATTTCTCCCTCATGACGCCAAATACTCTAATTCGTGTAACCGAGTACTCGGAAACCATGGAGCTTCTTTTACCAAAGGCAAACGCGCGAGCTGCCTTTAAAAACCAATGTCTCATGTTAGCTTCTCAGCCTCAACGCTTGGCCTCCTCGTACCCAGCCAGAACCACACCTTATCTCTACGCCTGACACCCTGCGAAAGATCTGTCAACGAGAAAAGAAGAAAAGAAGAAACAATTGTCTTTAGCGCGAACGGGCCGTAAACAACGCCGAGTGCGCATACGTGTAAGCGCTGCTGTGTTGGAAGGCACGCTACTTTAGACCGGGCCTCCCAACCCGCCCCCCGATTCCCTGGTGCCGATCCTCGCGCGGGGAGGTCAATTCACGCAGCCGAGCGGGCCGCAGGTGAGACGGCCCTCCTCTCGGCGAAAACAACACACACAACAAGAGGTTGTGAGTCCTTTTCGTCATGCGCTGCGCTATTGCGTTGCTACCTGCCGGTAGTGGTAGTCTGGATAGATCATGTCTTAGTTGATTTGGCATTTTGCATTTGTGATTCGGTGCTTATAAGTCATGAGGTCTCCCGCACGCATCCAGTCTGCTCATGTTGTCACTTTCAACGAGAGCGGTTTTCCTGACTTGTAGTATAAGGTCTGAGCGATACTCAACACCATGCGGCACCACTTTCTCCTCTTCGCCGCCGCTGCCACAGCAACAGCGAAGCATGGCAACGACACGAGCTCGCCAAAGTTCCCGGCACCGTTCCCGTCGCCGTTCCCGGTAGCGACGATATCCTCCGGCGTGGTACAAGGGTTGGCGACGTCTCTCCCCGATGCGCCGCACGTCGTGAACAAGTTTCTCGGGATCCCGTATGCCGCACCACCGGTCCGGTTCGCGCTGCCTCAGGCGCCAGAGCCATGGATGAGTCCCTTTAACGCGACTGCCTTCGGGGCGTCGTGCTACCAGAACTTTGTCAACAACTGTACGGAAAACCAAGTTCTCTCATTTGTGTGGGGGGCCCATGTACTGACAAGACCGCAGCCGTTGCAACTCGACCCGAGGTCACGGAGGCACTTTACAACAACCCGCCTGCGCCGGAGAGCGAAGACTGCTTGAAGATCAACGTCTTCGCCCCTGCTAATAGGTCTCGTAGGAATAATAGCTCGCGTGCGGTGCTGGTCTTCATCCCTGGCGGGGCGTTCCAGATTGGCAACGGCAGAGCCGACCTGTCCGCCTTTGCGGCGTACGAGAACATTGTCGCCGTTGCTTTCAACTACAGAAACAACAGTTTTTATCACCGTATCAGGACCGACTTCTGCGTATGCTGATCAACACACAGTCTTCGGCTTCCCCGCCTCCTCCCAGATCCCCATCACAGAGCGCAACCTCGGCCTCTACGACCAACGGCTCGCCCTCGACTGGGTTCAGAAGAACATCGCCGCCTTCGGTGGCGATCCCTCAAAAGTCACGATCTGGGGCCACTCCGCCGGCGCCACCTCCGTCGACTACCTCCTCCGCTCCTACGGCGAAAACGACACAGCCCCGGCCCCCTTCCGCGCCGCCATCATGCTCAGCGGCCAGAGCACGTTCGGCCTCGCCGCCGCCAGCTACCCCACCAACGGCCCGATGTGGACGGGCATCGCCGCGGCGGTCGGCTGCGCCAACGCGACGGACGTGCTGGAGTGCATGCGACGCGTGCCCGCGCAGACCCTCGTCGACGCACAGCGCGCGACGGGCATCCTGACCGGCCCCGAGCGCGACAACGTCACGCTGCCGTCGCTGCCCGTGGAGGCGTGGGGGAGCGGGCAGGTCGCGCAGGTGCCGCTGCTCATGGGGACTGTGGCGCAGGAGGGCCGCGGGTTGATCAACGACGGGATCACGCTCGATCTGTTCTTCAACACGTACTTGCCGCCCACGCTCGTGACGGCGGCGGCGAGGGAGGGAATTGTGGCGTCGTACCGGGCTGATTCGAGTCTGACTACCGACTTCGATATCGCGGCTGCGATTTACACCGACTACGTTTTCCAGTGTGTAAGTGTCTGCCCTCATCCTCGAAACTCAGATGTAAGATGGATAGGTGCTAACATGATGGTCTCAGCCGGCTGCGTTACTTGCGCAGACGGCCGTGTCGCTTGACATCCCGACGTGGCGGTACTATTTCAATACGACCATCTTGAACATGGCGCCCGACAACCTCGGCTTTCTCGGCGTGTTCCACGGGTCGGACCTGTTCCTGCTGCTGAGCATTCCCGGCAGGTCGAACTACACGCCGCAGCAGTTTGCGGTGTACGAGTACTTGCGCGACGCCTTCGCGAGGTTCGTCAAGGAGCCGACGAACGGCCCCGGGTGGGCGGCTGTTGGGTCGGATGCTGCTCCTCTTGACGTGGTCGTTCTAGGCGATGTTGGCAACGACAAGGCGGTTGTGACGCCGTATAATAGCACGCTGCTGGATGCAAGATGCGCTCTGTACCAGGGATATTATCCGATTCTGCAAGCTGTATTGGGATAAGATTATAGAGACGTATGTTTTGGGGTAGATATGTGCAGTAGATATGTGCAGATAGAAATGCCAATATGGTCTATAATTGAGAGACCGCCTGTTTTTTCCTGTGCTAGAGCGATTAAACTTCCTGTGACTATACTCTACTTCACTGTCGTCGTCGTCGTCGTCGTCGTCGTCGTCGTCACTTTTGTTGTCGCCGTCGCTTCTATCGTTGCCGTCGTCATCGTCATTCTTACCGTCGTCATTATCGTCGTCGTCGCTACTACCGTCCTAGATAATTAAGGGGTAATTAAGAACACAGGAAATATGGCCGCGCAGACACAGGAAAATCAGGTGTTTTCATGATTGAGATGTTGCAAGCTCTCGAAGGATGCGAATTTCCACGATCTCGCTGCATCTTGTCAGCATTTTCTTTTTCTTGCATGTCAATCTCGTATCCCCTCCGACGATGACGAGTGTTTGAGACCATTGATGACAGATGATGGTTGCGCGAATGTCACTTTGAGACAAGCTTAAATCAAAGACTTTTGAGATGCACAACGGTTTCCCGGAAGGAGTGTCAGCGAGCGGGAAGGTGACACTGGATGACAGCGGCGCCAGGGCCCAGAGCTTGGAAGTTGCAGCGCGTCTTCCAGGGCCCCTCCAGCTGTGGCTCCCGCTTCCTCCAGCCAATCAAAACGAACGCATCTGGTCCAACGAGGTCGGCTGATGCGGCACCCGCAGTGGGTCCTTGAAGTGGAGACGGAACTCAGCAGGTGCAGCCGGCGGTTCGGAGGGCAGCAATTGAACTGGACTGGCGAGACGGACCCCAACTGGAGGGAACCAGTGACTGGAGCCGGGGCACGCGGGCTGCTGCAATGCGAGGCTTCAAGGCTGCATCGAGGCGAGTTCGCTGCGCAGTGAGGTGGCCACCCCCGGCGACCCAGGACCTTCCTGGTTGCCTGCGCCGCTGTTCGCCTGCTTCCTGCCTCTCGTCTTCTGCCTTGATTCAGCGAGAGAGAAAAAGGGGTGGGCTGGATGACTCTTGCTTCTGTGGTTCTTGTTCCTCGCTCCCTCTTGCCGGTGGTCTTGCATTGCCTACCATTTCACCTAACCCGCCTTATGTAACCCACGGCAACAGGCGAAAGTGCCCCGTTCAGCCGGGCAATTCCCAGAGTTTCGGGGTCCTGGGTCACGAAGGTCCACCGTCCACCCAGGTGCG